GACAGCTTCATCACGACAACACATCTGCTCATGCATCACGTTGTATACAGAGTTTTTTGGTGAAGCGTCAAATCCTTCAGGTGACTCAGCCCCCCTGCAGCCCAGATTTGGCATCTTGTGACTTCTGGCTTTTCCCAAAACTAAAATAACCTTTGAAAGGAAAGAGATTTCAGATCATCCATGAAATTCAGGAAAATACAACGGGCAGCTGATGGCTATTGGGAGAACTGTGTGAGGTCCCAAGGTACTTACTTTGAAGGGGACTGAGGCATCATTGTCCTATGTACAATGTTTCTTGTATCTTGTATCTTCTTTAATAAATGTCTCTATTTTTGATATTACATGGCTGGGTCCCTTCTGGGCAGACCTCGTATACTCGTTGTTGTGAATGTGTATACGAACCTTTCATCTTGCAAAACTGAAACTCTGTACTCATTAAACAACTCCCCCTTCTCTCCTCAAGATCATTTTTATTAAATCAAAATTTACAATTTTGACATGGCAAAACTTCACGAATAAAAGGGCAAACCACACATTGGGAGACAGAACCTATTTTCAGCAAATTAAATGTGAAGTGCTTTTATGTGTGCAAAAGGGAAACACTCAAGTTGCAAAATTGTCCAAAAATAATTGAAAAGACCATTCATAAAAGAAAAAGCAGCAGTGAACTTGTAACATAATATCACACCTCACTAGTAATCAAAGCATTGTGCATTAAAATACCAGTTTTGCTTCTGAGGTTGGCAAAAGCATTTCCAGTGACAGCGCTCAGTGCCAAGTTGCTCTCAGGGGGATGGGCAGGCTTCTCCCTGCTGTGGACACACGCTGTCCACCTGCGGGAATTGTGTTTGGCCGTCTCTTTCAAAACCCTAAAATATTCATGACCTTTCACCCACTGGTGCCACTTTTAACATCCTGTCCTGAGAGAGATGTGCCCAAAGATTTATTTACAAGAACGTGTTTCACATCATTATGTATAAGAACAAACAAAAAATATGTATAAGCAATCCAGATACCTGAGAGTAGAACACTGGCCACAGAGAGTATCAAGCAGTCCAACAACAGAATAGTGAGGAGACCTTCTTGAAGAATTCTTAGTGAAAGGCTTATGATAAGTGAAAAAAAAAAAAAGAACAAAAGGAAACTGTATGTATGAACATGCACAAAGGGGAAATATAAAGAAATGTACCAAAATGGTGGCTAGCTATGGGTGGTGGGAAATTTGAAGTTTTCAAAATCAAAATATTAAACATTTTCAGTAATGAGTGTGCAATTTTCAGTAATAAGTGTGCTTGCTTTTAAAATCAGAAGAAAAGCCTTAAAAAGGGAACTTTTGTAAAATACTTACTATATATAACCTATGCAAATCTTTAAAAAAAAAGTGAAGTTCCAGACCCTGTTCAACTAGTTAATTTGACTTAGTATTTGTGAAATTGGAACATACACCTGTGTGAAAATTGGAATTTTTGCTTCTGAAAGTTGTAATACTGGTTTTTATGGCTGTTTTACTTTTAAATGAAACTGCACAAACTGTCAGATTTTTATCATGGAAGTTTGGATTTTTTTCCCTGAGGTATGTAGTCTGTCCTATGTGGTTAAGTTGAATTTTAACCTGATTTTGATACTTGTAGGTTTCAGTAGCTAAAATATGGCACTTCGGGAACATGATGGATTAAATACTTCTGTAAGGCGCTGTGTTCATCTAGATACCATTTATAGTTTTGATACTCTGGGGGGAAATGAAATCCAAATTTCAAACAACATTCAAAGGAACTTGAAAAAGTTCCTTTGATAAGATTGAATTTTTAAACTGTTATTTTGCAAATATTTAAAAACTTGATGTTCTCTTGAAGAATTTTATAGAAATCTGTCACCTGGGATGAAAAGCGCCTTGAAAGAACAGTCTTATTTACTTCATTGTTTTTCTTACCCTGTAGTTTTATGTTTTTCATCAACCTACCTGAGTGACTGGTGGCCCCTTAAAATACAGGGAACTGAATGAAGGTTGCAAATGCCTAATTCAAGGTCATGTCCACTGAGCAAGGTACCACACATAGACTAGAAAATTCCAGAACCCCAGGACCCTGGATGGGGATGAGCTACTCAGAGAGGGACAGGGAGTGGATGCTGGGGTCCCTCCCCAAGTGTTCTCTGCTCCAGTCACAGGAGAAGCCTGCCAGGTCCAGCTTGGCCCCAGGAGTCTGGCAGAAAATCCGATCTGACCGGACATGTGATTGGTACCAAGCCTCAGCCAAGAATGTGTTCTGCTGGGCAGCGCATTTATCACTTGTACCATTAAACACAAACGTTGGAGGATCTTCTATGCCAGGAAGAATTAAATGAGCAGATAAACCCCTCACGTATCCATCCAAGCCCATGTTTTGGGAGCAAAGAGCAGCTTAAGAATTTAATGAACCTGCTTTCAATATGCAGATTAGTTGGGAGCTGACGTAGGTGCCAGTCCTCTGCAAGCCCAGAGGAGTCCAACGGTCCGTTCATTCGTGAGGCCAAGAAAATGAAGCCCAAAATGTGTTTCTGGAGAAGCGGCTGAAAAAACATCTGCTACAAACATACATTTCCAGTTCCTCACAAATGAAGTTTTTTTCCCTTTTCCCATAGCTTCAGAAAAAGAGATTGCTTAAACATATTTTCTTATATTCCATACTGTTTACTGAGAATAATGTTAAATGTTTTTATGTCTTTACTTTTTTTGATTTTTTAAAAATATATTTTATTGATTATGCCATTACGGTTCCATTTCCCCCCTTCATTCCCCTCCACCCTGCACACCCCTCCCCCACTGTTCCCCCCTTAGTTTATGACCACGTGTCTCAAGTTCTTTAGATTCTATATTTCCCATACTATTCTTGCCCTCCCCCCTATCTATTTTCTACTTACTGTCTATGCTACTTATTTTCTGTACCTTCTCCCCCCTTCTCCTCCTCCCACTCCCCTGTTGCTAACCCTTCATGTGATCTTCATTTCTATGGTTCTGCTCCTGATCTAGCTGTCCTCTTAGTTTGCTTTTGTTTTAGGTGTGGTTGTTAATAACTATGTCTTTACTTTTTTAAAAAATATTTTATTTATTTATTTTTAGAGAGAGGAGACGGGAAGGAGAAAGAGTGGGAGAGAAACATCAATGTGTGGTTGCCGCTCCTGTGTCCCCTTCCGGGGACCTGTCCTGCAACCCAGGCATGTGCCCTGACTGGGAATCGAACCAGCAACCCTTTGCTTCACAGGCCCATGCTCGATCCACTGAGCTACACCAGCCAGGGCTACATCTTTACTTTTAATCACAAACTTGCATGACTTTTCAGTGCTACCAGAGGGGCACAAATACGTCTCCTTTTTCTCTTCAACTCCCCTCCTTCTGTCTCCTTCTCTCCTCTCCTCTGAGTAATCACAGAAAGTTCAGAATGGTGTCCTGGCCGAACTGAGTTTAATCGCATCATCATCTCTGTTTCTGATTCTCTTCCATTCCTGCTGCCCTACACCTGAGATTAAAACGGAAATTCTATGGCTGCAGGCTAATGAGGCAAACACTACAAAAAACACTGGCCAATCCATTTTATATACGTAGGAAGTCCTCACTCCTGAATTTTATTTTACTAGGAGATGTGTGCTGGGAGCCGTTGAGTTCATCGTTCAGATTGCGCAGGACAGAATTAAGTTTCGTAGTGCCGGGGGACTTCTCCCTCCAGGAGTGCCCGGAGAACTCTTCGCTCTGGAGCACCGTGCCTCTCTCCTGCCCCTGCTGTGGGATGTTGTTTTTTTTTTTTTTTTGTCTTCACCCTCTCCCGCCCCTGTGCCCTAATATTTGCTTATCGTCTCACCTTCCTCCTCTCTTCACTCTCAATTTAAAGTTATCTCCTCTTATCTGGAAAGACCCTCTAAAGCAGGGACTTGTGCTGTGTAAAAATGATGTGCTTTTGAGGACTGTAGTGCCCAGGACAGAGTGAGTATTTTTGGTTGTGTCCCTTTCAAAGTCACCCACTCCGGCTGCTAATTTTAGCGCTCTCCTTGAGTTTCATAAGAGGTTTCTTTCTAAGTTGTTAGTTTGCAGGTGTAATACATTAAAATACTTTTGCAGAGAGGCAAAGTAGTTACAGAACAGTACTTCTGGATTTTCTATGTTCTTTCTTGGATTTGGACAAACGTCAGTAAAAGAAATTCCCACTTTACAGAATCTACTTCACCACCAGGAACAATTGCTGATGATCCGAAGGAACAGGGCTCATGGTATTTCTTCTACAGATTTCTTCTGGTTTTCCTCTATTCTCTTCTTACTAACTGTAGTTAAAATAGGAAGGACAGAATGTGTGTGTCTGTGTGTGTGTGTTTGGGGGGAGGAGAGAAGAGCACTGTCGGGGGAGAAGGAGGGAGGGAGAGGAGGGGAGGAAAAGGAGGAGGGATCCTGCCTTGTCGTGGTTTCTGCTCTGCTCAGCCAACTTCAGAGAATGACTGCAACACCAATTCTAAATGAACAGCTTATGACTCTTATTTGTACCTCCCCTCTCCACCTCCCCCCACCAACAGGTTTCCTCTGTGAACTTCAGATGCCTGGTACCCTGGGTAGAACTGCTGGTGTGACTCCGGCCTGAACCACTTTATCAGGCAGCAAGATTTTGCTCTTCTAAGAGGCAAGCAGCTAAACCTGAGTCGTGCCCAGACTTTGCAGACCCCTGCTCAGTCTCCCGAGACCTCACTGACAGCTCGTCTGGGTTCCATCAGCTCACTGGGGCTGCGTGTCATCGGGCCCCTGTGCCAGGGCCTCCCCAGCGTCAACAACAAGTGTCGCACCTACTGCAGGCACAGCCCTCAGGTTTCATCACAGTGATGCTAAAAAATATTCTCCAGCTTCAGCAATGACCCAGTTCATTCGAGGGCAGGGAAAAATGCTCTTCTTCCCGAACTTCCCTGGCCACGGAATCTTCTCTCTTAGGAAGATAGGAGCTTTCCTGGGAGCAGACCCAACGGCGCTTTGACCCGTTTGTGGAAAAGACCCTGAGCCCTGTAGGTCCTCTGTGTCCCCAGGCCCAGGAGCAGGGACGCCCAATCAGTGCCTCCCACGCAGCCCGGGGAGCCCACAGCCGAGCCAGCTCTCCTATCACGTCTCTGGGACAGACAGTATTGAAAAGTGAGTATTTAGACTTTGGTTTTTGCATAAGTAATAGCTGTGCTTTCAATATGTAGTTGTCTGCGTTTTCTATGACACAGAACAAAGCAGATTGTGTCCTTACAAAACAGAATGAGATGGAACAAGCGAGGGCTCTGGGACATACCAGGGTACAGAGGCTTTTAAAGTGGCCAGATTCTCATTTTCAGTTTGGGCCCTTTGGGAAAAACATTACTATTATTTTCATGTCTGCTTCTTTGGGTTTGATAATCATTTTAAAAGATTCTTTCACATCCTGGCTATCTCAACAATGAGAAAAACAAGCAATACCGGAAGACTCGAAGGAGCGATGTGTAGAGGCTTTACAAAGTAACACGAAAAAAAAAAAACAACGAGGTAACTATCCAGCTGACTCTGGCCCCAGATACCTTTGCCTGAAATATTTGAGTATTATGGTCACATGTTACTCCTTTTATGGGGTTATCATGATGATTGAAAACCCCCACTTTGAGTGGACACAGCGGTCTCTTGGCTGACCAGGGGGATCACGTTACTGAAAAGCTATCAGGCGATTCAGAATGGCTGATGTAAACATTCGTTGAGGCATTAAAATAGATCTGCTTCTCTTTTCTTTTTTAAAAAATTGCGGTAAGAAGATTAAGCATGAGATTTACCTTCTTAACACGAGTTTAAGTATGCAATGCGGTATTATTAACTAGAGGCATGATGTTGTACTCAAGTTGTTACCTGGATTTTTAAATTTGACACAAGAAGTCAATCAGAAAAAGTCATCGATTAAAAAGTCATCAATTAAGTGTTACATTTTGATGAGCGCATGCAGACTTGAAAGCCCCTGAGGAAGGGTGTCTGTTACAGAGCTCTGGAGATCATGTGAAAAGTAGATAAAAGCAAGAACAGCACTTACAGCCATTCTTGCTCTCATTATTTCCTTCCACAACCTTTTCCTGGAGTGAAGGCAGGCTTCGTTGTTGGTTTTTTTTTAAAGTTCAATTAACCGGGAACGGTTAGAGACGTTTTATAACAGCCTCCCAGCTCAGAGTAAATGGAATGAGCTTCTGCGCTGTGAGGCTTCTGAACCGAAACCCAGGATGTTATAGGCCATTTCTGAACTGATGGATGGACAAATCCTGTATTAAAAATCACTAATGGTCAATAAACACTTTCAGATCTTGGAAATCCAGATTTAAAACAAACTAAATGTGTTTTAGCTCTCAAATTACATTGCCCTTCTGAAGTTTTTGCAAAAAAAACCCATCATGGTTTGGAGAAGATTTTTGGGTATGGCTGAATTCCTATTTTCATCATCTGCAAAGATCACTCCCTCCCTTCCCTCCATCCCCCACCTCTAATTCATTTCTAACAGCCTCCTGCCCACTTACTTGTAGGCTTCAGCCCGTGCAGGAAGGGTGCCGGAGAGTATCCTAATTGGGGTGGAGGTGGGAGCAGCTCGCTGGTGGTGCTGAGGAATCAGTCCCAGGCTTGGGGGTCAGAGTTGGAATCAAATCCTGCCTCTGGCCCAGTTTTTCAGCCTGTGTCTTCACTTGTGAAAGGAAGAGAACAGTACCTACTTTGACAGGGTTGGTTAGATGAGTAAATACCACTAAACTATCTGTCACATCGTCATTTTTCCACATGGCTCTTCCTCTCGGCTAATTATAAACATTCTCTCCCCTAAAATTTCAGAAAGCGTTCATCATATGAACTACAAAGGAATAGAAACTACACATTTTGGACACTCGTGTAATGATAATGAAAATGCCACAGAAAATTAGATTGTTTTCAAGGAAATTCTGTACTTAAAAAGTGTTTGAGAGCAAAATTCAAAAAGAGATTATATTTTAGAATGCAGCTACAATACATAAGAGAAAGTATTTTTGTCTGGAGATGGTTGATGATGTATTTATTATCCAGAGAGGTAGAGATTTATCAATGTCACCTGGAAACGCTTTTTAGTATGTAATAGTACCATATTTAAATGAGCTTCCATGAGTCTAAAGGAAGAGAAGTTTAAGGAAAATCTCTGTACTAGATGCTGCCTGTGATTATGAAAGCACAGGCGCCAGCCAAGCCTTTACTCAAAGATTATAGTGGGTCCCTGCACTGGCCCCCGTTCTGCTCAGACCCGGGCACAGTAGAGTGAGCGGGGAGAGAACGCTCTGAGATGGACTAGCTGTTGGGTGGCTGAGCAAAGACAGTCGCTCAGGGTCATCTCAGGGACAGTGGCTGGAATTTCAAGGTCAGCGATGAGGGTTCATGATGAACAGGATGCTCCCTTGCTCTGGGATGAGGATGAGAGTCAGGCACAGGGGGACGATGCAGACAAGAATCACAGCTCGTGCAGTGGCTCTGAAGGCTTTATCAGTGTCTGCATCCTTGCCCTGTTGTCCATACCGAGATGCCCCATAGCTTTCATCCAGGCACACCAAAGCATCTTGATAAGTTCCTTGCTACGGTTACTGACTGGTTCACAAGGGACCCTGTTATTCTGGGTTGAAGTCTGCCAAAGAAAAGAAATCTAGAAATTCAGAAATGTAAAAAATCTGGGGAGAAAGCAATCATGGCATCTTAGGGTGGGCGAAAACGAGTAAATGCCCGACCTACATGATGGGAATAGAACATTTAAACATGTTTAGAGACGCCGTTGAGGTTTCTGCCAACACACTCCCATCTGGGGCCGCCCAGGATGACCTGGAGACTCTGGATGCCAGGTCAAAAAGATGGACACAGGTTGAAGAGATAGTTTCAAATTGTTCCCTTCTGAATATAGCACCCTACTCCTTCCAGGGCCGTGTCCTCTAGGGCTGCCGCCAGCACGACCAGGGTCAGTCGACTCACCTTGATCTTCACTTGGTCTTCAGTCCCGCTCTTAGATAACCAGGCTCATTTGCTCCTCAGTCAGTAGTTTAACAGCTTCCTGCTGTCCAGCGGTTCTCCAGCTTGAAAGTGCAACAGACTCTAGAGAGCTGTTTGAAGCACTGGATCCCTCCCCCAGAGCTTCTGACTCAGAAGGTCCCGAGAATTTGTATTTCTGACAAGTTCCCATGTGATGCTGATGGTGTGGTCCAGGGCCCACACTCCTGAGAACCACTGTTGTAACCATTTCTTTGGCCTGTGCTTCCTGAAGAAAACCTGCTTACGCTTGTTCTTTCCAATCACTAAGCTGCCCACTCCTCAGCCACACTGTGCTAGAGCCGTGGAGAAGATAAACCCATCGGGCATTCTGCAGGCAAGCAGCAGACAGGGGGGCGCACTGTGGGGGACGCTGAGCATGGGGAGGAGACACTGAGGGGGGGCTGTCAGTCTTCTGGGTGGGGGCCAGATTTTATCCAGCTGAAGCTATCAGGGCAGACTTTAAGGGTGAGCTAGCACTTGAACTGGGGTTTCAAAACTTGGGGGATTTCAACATACAGAGATGGAAGGTGATTGTTCCCTAAAAAGCACATTGTTCTGTTAAAAAACAATTAAAACAAAACATGGAGGGCAGAAAGAGATAGGATGTGAATGGAAATCAGAAATTCATTTGGTGGGACTAGGCTTTCTATAGTGGTCCTCAGAACTTCCTTGGAAAAGCATTTTTTGATTAAGCCATCTAATCTTAAATTCTTTACTTCCGTCTATAAATTGGTGAAGGCATGTCTGACATAGAGGTCTGGGAAGGAGGGCCAGTGGAAGGAATTTCAGGCACCATGGGAGAGGAGAAGGTATGGATGCTTTAGCAGTAACAATAAAAAACCAGCTCAAACTAGCCTAAACGGTAGTGGGGATTTATTGCTCACACAACTGAAAAGTCCAGGAGTTTGGTTACCTCCCTGGTTCTGGTTCTCCGCATTTTGGAGACTCCTCTGCTCTTCTCTGGGCTTCGGTTTCAACCTCAGGCTGGCTCTCTCAGTCTCAAATGGTTATCGCCTCCCCTGGGGTCTGCATGCTTTCAGTTCCCAGGGTAGAGGACAGAGTGAAAGACCTAAGCTTTGCACTGATTGGATTGTCCCTGAACTATTTTCTGGAGAAAGACATGTGCTGATTGGCTCAGACTTATTCATAAACCAATCACCAAGCAAGAGTACTTGATCAGTTTAGACCAGTCAGCACTGGCAAAGCAGTAAGGGCAAGGACCAGCCCACCCATCGCCAGGCTTGAGCAGTGAGAGAGGCTGGAACAGAGTTAGCAGGACAAGGGAAATGGCCCCTTTGGGTGGTTTGGGACATTTTGGAGCAAGGCCTCTAAAGTCATGCCATCTCCACCCTTGGTGATCGGGCCGACCGCGGCAGCTTCGTGCTGTAAAGATTCAGGACAGTCCTCTTGTGAAGTCAGCCCAGGCATGTTAACATGGTCCTGCCGGAACGAAGCCTTAGACGCGGTGCTCCCTTCCTCCCCAAGTCCTTACCATCGGCTGTGGGGCTCCTACTCTCTAAGGCACACTCTACTAAAGACAACTAGCTCAAGAATGATTTTTAAAAATTCAGAAAACAGGGCAAATAGAGGCAAAAATAAAAAGTTTCCTTCTAGGAGCTCCAGCTGTCTGGGTAGAAGGATGGCGGTAGAAGGTAAGGCTGACACTCTGAAGTCCCCTGTCCACTGCTGCCCTTGTCTAAGCAGACTCGCTGGGAGGTGGTTTGTTCAGTATAACAAATTCAGGCCCAGTTCCCACGGCATGGGCGGGCTCACGCTGGCCCACTACAGGGCAGGGAGGAGGCAGAGGAGGACGGGACCTTTCCTAGGCCCTCCCCTCTACCGGCTGGCCCGAAATCACACTCTCCAAAGGAATGAATGGCTCAGGTTTTTGCTGGGGGTGGGTTGGGGGAGTGTGGAGGGAGCGTGAGGACGCAGGGAGCCCGGGAGAACGTGGAGGACAGATGCGTGAGGAGGAACCAGACAGGGTTGGGGACGCCCTTGAGGATACAGGCTGACATTGGCCACAACACCCAGCCCACTACATTCAACCTCAAACCACAGTGATTTTTAACCAGTGAATTCACACCAGCTGGACTCATTAACAACAC